TTATTCGGCGTAAGTGTTTGTGTGCCCAATTTGAAAGTGTAGAGACTCTAGAATCACTGTGGACAGAGCCTGAGTCATTTTATTTTTGAAAGGATACGTCGCTCTTGTTCCCGCTCATTAATGTGTTACTACATCCCAAAGAACGCTTCACACTAATGTCAGCCTTTTAAATTTGATTTTTGGAATCTTCCAGGTGAACGAATATTAGTATATATAATCTTTTCTTAATTATGTATGCATTTCACCGACTGTTGAAGAAACGCAAGACGTTGCTTATTATTTTCACGCTTCAATTCTTCGGATTCGTTCTGCCGAGTACGTTCTTATCGGTCCATGCCGGAAATTCATTCACTGTGGAGCGACAGCAATTTATATATATATATATATATATATATATGCTGTCCACATCGGCAAGGGGAAATTATTGCAGGGAGATTTCTCAATACGAAACTAGTTATTTTCCGCATAAAAGAAAAAAAAAATCACTCTTTTAAAGCACATATATTTCACAAATGTATAATACGTATACGTTTGACAATATGGTATAAAGAGTAATACATAATATCAAGAAGACATAATTTTACTCAGAAAGTTATAGATTTAATAAAAATGTGGATGGTGTTTAATCGAAAGTTTCTGTCTCGACGTATTCTGGGAAATAATTACAGTCGCGGATCGATCTTGGAAGGAGGGAGACTTTCTAATAATTCCGTTCTGCATCTAAGCTATTTTGTTTTTAGAAATTGCTTTTTCGTTTAATATTGAACAGATTGTATAGCGAATAAAGTAGCTATCTTGAACCATACAGTACCGGGTGTAAAAAAAAAAGAAGACAAAAAAAAAAAAAAAGAAACCGTGCCTTTATTATTATTCCTTTTCTTTTTTTTACGCATTATCTGAGAATTAACCACGCGTTCCGAAGAGTTCGGGTTCCACCCGTATGTAGATACAGAGTAAGGAGGCGAGAATATTTAAATCGCATTAAGGAAATTTTTAATGTAACGGAAATAAAAAAACATCGTTTGTTTTTGGTGCCAGGCGTTATTCGTTTACATGTAGAATTCTTGGTATCGGCAGCGCCGTTTTATTTTGTGATCTTTCTTTATTCTTTCTTTGTTGTGTTGTGTCCACAAACAGCACATAGCCTAAAAGTGGTACACAGTTCGTCATTGGAAATGAAATGCAGGCAGCCAGATAGATCCAAAATTATCCACAAATTATTGACTCCAGTGTACGTCGAAAAGTTGTCGAGTCACTAAAAATGTCTGTAGCAGATTGGTCAAGCCTCTTTAATATCAGTTGCATTCTAGTTAAAGAAGACGTACCGTATAAAGTCGGGGGGTAGGACGGGCTCTGAAACCGACTGAACTGCAAGGGAATATGAAAAAAAAAAAAAACAGTACTTAGGTACTTAGCAAAAGTGATGAATCAATACTTACGTTCACAATCTTACGTAAAAACATAAAATCATGTAACCGCCTTCTATCAAGCAAAGTGCGCCGCTATGGTTGTAGTAGAACTTGCGCCCGAAATGCCTGCCATAGGTTATGCCTATGAAGCGTCTTTGAACACGCTCAATAGAGCATGGCACAGAGCGGTTGATACAATTATACACAATGGAAGCAAACTCCAGCTTTGTACGCACTAAGCAGCAAAATAAACGCATAAGACAATCAGGCGAAGAAAATTGCCTCGTAAAACCCAAGATTCCTAAGAGAGGCATTACATAGAGCTGAAACATGATTATTATAATTTAAATACGAATCAGCGAAAATGCCAAGATCACGAATGACAGACACTCGGGAGATGAGACAGCTGTCTATTCCGTAAGGGAACACACGTGAATCTCGCTTTCTAGTCAGGGACATTATTTTTGTCTTTTGCTCATTAAGCAAAATATGGTTCTTTGAACACCGCCTTGAAATTACCAACGCGTCATCCTGAAGAAGTTTGCACTCCGAGTTCGAACGAACACAGACCAATCACATACTACGAGCGAAATTGGCGCGGTTTCATTATAAAATACTAGAAGCTAAATTGACTTTACAGTTCCTAGCTCGATAAAGGTGTTTCAAACATTGATATCTTCCAATCGCTAGCGTTTACACTGTTGCATCGTTGGAGCTCTGCAAGACGCGTGCTCTTCTCAGTGAAATCGCTGTTAGATGTTCTTGTAAGTACACTCTACACTGTGTTCTGGATATAATGAGGACGTAAGGACCAGGGCCTGTGGAACGGCTTGAGAAATTTGAATTCCGAACGTACTTGCCTGAAGCAGGGCACGCGAAGGTCGTTTTGCTAATTTTTTTTACGCCAAATGTTCTTTTAGGGCTGAACCAAGAGGTGGTGAAAATATTACAAACAAAGCAAAAACGGCGTCTGTGTATTTTTTATCGCCTATACCAGGCTGTTGGTCGTCTGCTCACTGGCTTGCAAGCTCCCTCCCGGGTGACTTGCAGAACGCAAAAACGCTGAAAACGCCTATAGACATTTTCCGCTTACTCTCGCCCCCGACCGCCATCCGGTATGGGTGACGAAAACATATTAGAACGTTTCAATCTGCAAATGGTAAAACAATTAGTGGGGAGACAAAACGAGAATGGGTGACGTCTACGCTTATCTCCTAAATGCCTACTATTGGCGTGGCGACGGCAAAACAATGTTTTCGCCCATACTGGAAGTGACGATTTTTCAAGATGGCGGCGCCCTTGTGAAAAAGGTCTCTAGTAGAGGCGGGCGACAAGCAGGATAATTGCGATAAGTGATAACTTTAACAAAATATGGGAACGGTGACCACCTCGGGGCAAGCTTGCTAACCAGTTTGCAGACGACAAGCATCCGGTATAGAAAATAGAAAATTGACGGCCGCCGTTTTTGCGGAACGATCTTTACTATTTCACCACCTCTGAGTTGATCTCTCAAAAGACATAAAACATTTTGCGCAACGGCGCTCGCATGCCCAGTTTTAGGTATTTAAGATAAAATTTGAATTTTGCGAAGCTTGTTTTTATATGCTTGTTTTTTCGGCCTCACCTTGTATGTTAGGTTTAGCGTTTTCGGGTGATGCGCGATGGCGGTGGATAAAGAGACGTCAAATATACGAGGTCTGGCAGAAAACGTACTGAGTCTGCTTTGTTTTAGCCGTCAATTCTTAGTTTTGCCTGTTTTGATATTTGAAGGTTTTAAACTATCACCTTCAAGGTAGTTGTTCCCTTGAACAGCTACACACCGACGGAGGCGTCAGTTTTATTGTTCGCAGCATTGCTGGAAGCCTTTTACTGGAATTCATTTCAGCTCATCGCTTCGACCCTTCTGGACGTTCTTCAAAATATCAAAACGACATCCTTTCGAGGGAGTTTTGACTCTGGGGAAGAGACAAATGTCACTGGGACTGAGGTTCAGCAAATAAGGAGCTGGGGAACCACAGGAATGCTTTCTTCTTCCAAAAATCGCATTGATGGAGATTTTCGCGTGACATGGGGCGTTATCGTGCTGCAGCATCCAAATACGTTCATACTTGGTCGCACACGTGCCATCCTCCTCAGCAGTCTCACAATTACTTGTGGGCGATCCCCTGTCTGTGAAAAAATCACCTCGGTATCGATTTGATTTTGGATTTGCTTACTTTAGCATTCTTAAGACGAGGAGGCTTTGCAGTGTGCCACTCCCAACTTTGGCATTTTGTGTCGGGGTCATACTCTAAAATTCATGATCCATCACGTGTGACAACGCGACTGAAGAATTCTGGATCCCTATATAGGTGTTTCCGATGGTCAAAACATATATCCAACCGATTAATCTTCTGCACAGTCATAAGTTTTTTTTTGTTGTTGTTTTTGTTTTCTTCACCATTTTGACTAACACTTTTCTCATGCGGAAATCCCGGGTTAAAATCTCAGGGACCGTAAACGAATTCAAATTTAACTCACAACTTGTCATTCTCAATGTTAATCGGCGATGTGACCTCACAGGAGTTTTCACTATTTTCCATGTTTTCTTCAATTTTCGAGGTTGAATACGAGATTCGTCATCTATTTCTTTCTCGGCCTTCTAAAAAGTATTTTTCCACCTGAACACTTGGACTTTTGATAGCTCCTCTACTCCTTAAGCGCTTTCTAACTTTTCATAAGTTTAAGTGGCATATTCACCTTATGTTTCTCACAAAAGTTTATTTCAGAACTTTGCTCAAAATTCTGACTCCTTCTTTTTTTAACGCACCTCTAAAACACAGCTGATCACTTAAGACACCCTCAAACTCACATAGTAAAATTAGCGGGTTAAGACTCTCGCCGAGTTTACGAAAGGTATCTTACCTAACCGCCATACGAAGGGGAAGGAACAAGCGTTGTCGGTTCGTGCACAGTGTTGCCAGTATCATAACTTTTCTGCCATACCTCGTAGATACCAAAGCTCAGGATTAAACTCTACATCCCACAATCCGGCTCGAACGGCATCGTACAATGTACGTCGATACGTAATAGCTCTATTTTGTTGTCGATGTGATTTGTTCTTCAAAATGATGATGTGATTTGTCGCCGAAATCAGAAAATGTTCGTATTTTACATAAACAGATGCTGAAGCAGTAGCTGATTCAGACCTTCGTCAACTGATCTGCCTGGAAAGTTGAAATGGAAGCATTCGGTACGCTGATATTCAACCCCGATTATCTGACTTTCAGATGACGTGGTTCAATCACCGACAGCTTAGGAGACGCGGTCCTGGGCATATTTTGTCATCGCTCTGGAGCCAATTACATTGAGGCGTTAGCTGATGAGAACGCCAAAGAACAGACCACGAAATAAGAAACACTTAAATAAAGGAATCATGCGTATCTGAAGTTGTCGGCCAGGATAGCGAAAGTACTGTTATAATCAAATGTTTGCTCTATTTGGAGTAACAAACTAACAATAGCATAAATATTGCAATGACCATATATATATATATATATTTTCAGAAACAAATACAATGCTGTGATACCCAAATGTTGGATATATTTGCAGGTTCGATCCAGTCCACGGAGGAAATAGGCGTGGTTAGGAAGTTTTCGTCGCGGGTACAACCGTCTCTTGGATGCCTGCAAACACCTCGCACTCTTTGGATTTCCTGCGTCTTGCGAGATCTTGTCTTCGCCGAAATGGTAAGCTATTCGTTGGTTATTTTCTGCAAAACTAAGTTAAATTATTTTGTTTTTGTTCAAGGGCCACAAGGTGTAACCAGCAGATCGGTTCTGGACAGTTATGTGACTCTTCACGTTTTATGAATATTTTGAAAGCTATTTTGTAGTATTTAATGTATTTGGTTATAATTTCATTAATCCTACGTGACGAACTTTATAGGTTCGCTAGTTTCGAGAACGGAAAATGCGCTATCTTAATTGTTCAATATGACATGTTTCTGGCCAGCAGAGTTTACTTAATTGCGTTACTTTGTAGAGAATGCAACACGTGTGTTTGTTTTACTAGCAAAGGGCAGTATATCTTACTTAAATAATGAAGACTCAAAAATAAAATCATAATATAATAAAGGAAGTTTAAGAACGCAATTTATTTAATACTTACCAAAGTCAAACACGTGCCGTCTTTTTGAGGGAGCGGACTATTAAAGCTTGAAATTGTTGCGGTAAAAAACAATTAATCTACTCGATTATAGGGGTAAGTGTCAAGAAAGGAAAAACAAAATACGCGTTATACGGAGATAAAGAAATGTGAGGGGTTTGCACAACCCGCGAACTTTTGTGCCAAGCGCTGTGCGTACCGCCGAAAGCTGAAACTCCACCAAACTGCAACGGTAGATGTAATGAGAGGGCAGGGGTTTCAGATAATGAGTTAAACGAGTAATTATTTACCCCTGGCATTTCCAGGATGAATTTACATGTTGGCAACACAAGCGGTTGATATACTATTCGTGTGGCCTCGATGGTCTCTTAACGACGTATACAACAACACAACCATGCATTTGTTCCGCAACCCCTGTCGACTTCAGCCTAGGATTTTTGAGTAGGATAATCTTTCGAACATTTCCTAAGGCTAAATAAAATCTGGATAACAGATATGCGTTTGAGCGTGACCGACTGCGTTGCGATCGCTCCCGACTGCTTACGACGATTGGATGGGCGGATGGATACAACTGAACCCTTTAAATTGGACGGCAGCTCGCGCCACCTATAGCCAACACACCGACGCCATCTATTACATGGGCCCGGGCCTCTTCCGGACTTTATCTATTCTCAATTTTTTTCTTCTTTACGCTTTCTTCTTTTATTATCGGCTCGAAATAGTTTTAGCGGTGTTATAAGCGACCCTTTTTAGCGGGCGGGCGTATGTGTTTAGTTTCGCAAATACTGGAATGCCATCGGTTTATTTCCGGCAATATACGCTGACCAGAAGCGGGTTAGAATGACAGATGGCGCTGGTGTGATATGTCGTCGTAAGCAGTCGCAAGCATATGCAATGCAGTCGTTTCGTCGCACTCAAACGCAAATGTGTGATTTAGCCTAAAGCCGCGATATACATCGTACGCAAAAGAAAACGGTCTGCGGACGCTGCCCGAAGCGTGCGTCACATTGGTCATGCATTGTCTGCGGACTTGTTCGAAGCGCACGTATCTATGAAGCAAATATGCTGAGCGTGCTCGAGGCCTGTCCGCAGGTAATTATGGCGTCGTGTCTCCAGCAGTCACTGGGGCGTTTCTACGTTGTTTGAGCAGAGGGAATGCAACGATTTTACACTTCGAAATAATTGGACTTTGAAACTTTTACGTTGCTTATCTTAGCAAAAAATGATTAAAGAAGCCGACTCATTATTATTATTATTATTTTAAACATCGAGATTCTGTTGCGCAGTAGCAAAGAAAGAAAATATTTTGCGTTCTTTTTTTCAGCCGCGGGGGGGGGGGGGGGGGGAGGCGGGGGGCGGTTTTGGGAACTATAAGGCACGACGCACAACGGGTTTAACGTAATAAGTTAGCTAGACGCGCCATTATTTGCGCAGTCTAATGCTATTTGATAAATATTGTCGTTTCAACGTGAGTAAATGCGTCAACAACTAAATATCATCGACCGAGTTGTACTATATTCAGTTCTAAAAACGCCATCTGCCCAAGGTAAAAACAGATATATTTCTCCCTCAACACTCACCTTGTTTTGCTACTAGTTCTGTCGAACTTCCTTTTGGAAAAGCAAGCTCTTTCTTCTCGGCCCCCTCTCCCCCTCCCCCTTACTATATCCCTGCTTCTCCTCTCATCACTTCGACGGGTGGTTCTCAAAGGGAGGTCCGCAAACTCTTTGGGGTCCGCGAAGCCCTGATTCATCAGTAAAGCCGGGCAATAAAAGTTGTCTTTTACAGATTGAGGTGAAACGTTCCAATTTTCGGGGGAGTTTTCTCGTGTGAATGTCAATGAGAGAAGTCTACTTCACACTAGCCCTTAGTTATATCAATTGATTAGATAATTATCATAATTAACCTATACCCCTCCCTTTTCCTGACCACGAACGGGGTCCTCCGTCATTTTTGCCGATCCACAAGGGGTCCGCGAAACATGAATGGTTGAGAACCAATGGCTTAAGGCCCGTTCACACTCTTGCGACCGAGTAAGACCGAGAGAGACCAGACCGGTTTTTAAGCCTCTTGCGATCACTTATAGGACCAGCTCCGCTGCAGCGCATCCGGTCCTAAGAAGTCGCAAGCGGCTTAAAAACCGGTCTGGTCTCTGTCGGTCGTACTCGGTCGCAAGAGTGTGAACGGCGCTTTAGACGAACCTTCAAGGTCGCCATGCGGATCACAAGCGGAGGCTGCGCGCCCTGGGGGCTCTGGAAGAAAACTCTACCGGGATGCTCCCTACCCCATTGCGAGTCACTCCGCACGTGACTCGGAAGACGATGTACGAGTGGAGGGAGGTCTGGTTGCGCCCAAAACGTCAATAGTTTTACTTTTGTTTTTCCTAAAGGTCTAACGTGTGTAGGCAATTTGTTTTACAGTTCTGATTTTAAACGTGACAGGGAACAACTACAACAATTATTTGAGCTAAGTCCAAACATTGTTGCACGGACCCTTTAAGGTGACCCTTCAATATAGTTGCAACATGGTGTTGCCTGCAGTTAGTTTACGCAGTATCAGAACCCTTAAACAATGTTCTGCCTGCCTCCATCTGTAGGGGCAGCCATATACTGTTACAGTCCCACCTTTGTTTTTAATTTTCTATTCTGGCTATAAATAATAACGTTGTTATGACGAAAGTGTTTGTTCTTTATTTTTTGTTTATATCTCAATGACTCATTTGAATGGTAGATCATTTTGCGGCCAGGTTCATGATTACAGTTCTGTATTGCTCCATTACGTTTTGTTACTCGCTATTGTTTCCTAAAATTCAAGAACGGACTAAATCTACCCGAAGGCAATTTAGAACTCGTCGATTTGAGTCTTTCATGTGTTTATTCCAGCGAAACCGGGGAGCACTAATGGGCGCCTCAGTGCGCGGCTAACTTCTATAGACGGTGAGCTAGCCTCACCTTACCATTACATAAAAGAACTGTCTTTTTTTTTTTATGATCCCAGGCGGGTGTCTTTCTGTATGTTCCAGACCTCAAACAAACATTTCAGTTTGTCGGCGCTCATTTTGCTTCTCGAACATTCTAAAAATAATTCTGACTTGCGTAAAAAAAAGTACAAGAGTTTGTTCGTGTTTTGTAATTACTTGTGCGGTGGAAACTACACAAGCAAATAGCGTTGGAGAAAATATTTGCATGGTACTAACGGGTTACATCTATTCTCGCGCAGGTCTTAAACTGAGACGTCACCTAAAGATACCCTGATGCCATCGGCTGCTACTAGTTCGTAAAACGTTCTTGGTGTCGATTCCAGGATCCTAACGTAAAGCCAGGGTGACCGGAGCGATGGGTGAAGCGACTGGGCAGGATGCGTCACTGGTCGGTCACACTCGTGGACGCGCGTTCGCAACCCCACAACCTTAAAGAGCCAAAATCCTTGGCCTGATGGAAGGAACGTGGAGCAAGGGCACGGACCTCCCTGCAGCGAAAACATGGAGAGACCGTTCCGTCCTTGACGTGACCTGCCCTTGCACCCTTACGCGTCATGAATGAGTGCTTCCTGTGGGAGTGTATCTCGCGTGCCGTGACGCACATTTGTGGACGCCCGTACATGCCTCTGCACAGATAACTGTAGTTGCAACTGGCTTACCTCGTGTTTTTCCCTCGGATGAGCCTACGCGGTGTCAGCGAATATTTCGAACGCGTAGCAGGAAAAGCGCTCTTCGGAGATAGTCGTGTAATCGCCTGAAAGCCCTGAATGGACCACCGGAACGTTATTTTAAACACCCTTCGTGAAGCATCAATTATTATTGTTATTTCAGTTTTTTTGTTTTTTTTTACACGCGGTACATGTCGCAAAAATAAAAGTGGATTTTGTAAGGCCTGTGCTCATCTTGCACCTCCCACTCCTTTTTGTTTTCTCCAAGGAACAGTGTCTGCCACTAAGAGTGGTACTCCAGCGATTCTTGTAGCTGCCCCGAGATATGCATTTGCAGAATCACCAGCCTTTACCCTTTCCGGTATGCCATGTAGTATCGCGAAACTCAGAATAGGTATTGTGAAATCGGCGTGTGAAATGGTGCAAAAACCAAGATTCAAATTTACCCGCGCTGTTCGGTGCCCTGAGACAGGACTATAAGTCGAGCGGGCAGTCCGGAAAGGGACTATGGCGAGTATTTGTTTCGTGCTGGAGCGCGGGTGCTGGAGCGAGCTTCCAAAGCATTCGTTTGACACTATGAAACTGCTTGTAATCACTTGTGAACAAAGTCTGGGATCAAAAGAGCGAACCCCTGCTTTCCGCTGAGGTCGCCTTTTTTTCATTGTTGCTAGTAGAGACTTTCACTTTCAAAAAACACGGTGAGGGTCCAAATTGCAAATTCAATAACTCCGCGAGACAAAATAAGTTGTGCTGAATATTTGGGTTACTATTTCAGCGATGTGTGTTGGTGTGTTTGGCTAATTTTCGGGCAAATCAGGGACTGTGAAGAAAACGCCGCTATGCCTACTGCTTCAGGTGTTTGCGTCTGACTCTGCGTATAACTAGACTGATGAGTGATGTGCGTACTACTATCTATCAGAAATGGGTTGTCACT